CCATTATAAATATGATGAAGTTTTATATATGAAAGGGTGGTCAACTAAAGGGATTTTTGAACTTTAATCCTTCAAGAAGATTAAAATTAAAAAAAAAACCTGGTGTTAGATTGAATATTGATTTTAGTCCCTAATGTGTCCTTAATTCAAAATAATTAATGTGCATTTTATTTAATGTCTCCCATTAAATATTTAAATTTATTAATACACAAATTTTAATTTATTTTTTTTTACCAAAAAAAAGTTTTTTAATTTATTAATTTTATTTAACATTCTTCAAACTTGAAAGACTCAATTAATGTATCTAAATGTTAGTACCGAAATATATCATATTGAACTAATATATTTAAATGCTAGTACCGAAATGTATGTACCTAAATATGTGCACTAAAATGTATTAATATTAAATTAATATACCTAAATGTGTGTACCGAAATGTATGCACCGAAATGTTAGTACCGAAAATGTATTATATTGAATTAATGTACTTAAATGTTTGTATCGAAATGCATGTACCTAAATGTATGCGCCGAAATATATTATAATGAATTTAATATACCTAAATGAAGAAGATAAAGTACATTTGTATAACAAAAATTAGTTTATCTAAATGTTCACATCAAAATATATTACGATGAATGAAATGAAAATAAAAATTAATACATTAAAAATTAGAAAGAAAAAGATAAATAATTAAAACATCAAAATATAATTAATAAATGAGGTTATTAATGTATCAAGGGACTAAAATTAGATTTTGATCTTACTCATGGTTTTAATCAAAAAGTCATATTTACCAAGGATTAAAATGAAATTTTCTATTAACTAAACAAGATCACCATTTTATCCTTCATTATGGTTTGTGATTTATTAAACTTCAAAATTAAAATATACAACTTTTCCGAAAAAAAAAAAAAAAAAAACCAAATTTAATATACAATGCCATTTGATAAAAACAACAAAAAAGGCCAACACAAATTTACACGCATCATTCTTTTTTGGTGTGATTGGGGACCAAAGGGCCTTTGACTATAGATGAACAGCTTTCTTTTTCTTTTTTAATACATGTGAAATTATTTTATCAAAAAAAGAAGATTAAAGAGCTTCTATATTTGATGGATAAAATTATAGAAAATTTTGCAAAACAAACGGAACTAGTGAACTTCCACCATGACGGTGTGCTTGCCGTTCATTTAACCATTTTTCAAGACTCAATTTTCGAACCCTAAAAAGGTAAACATATAACTAAACCAAACTATTTTGCTATTATAAATGCAATAGTTTTTATTTTCTGTTGGCTAGCTTGTAAGTGAGGGCAAGGACGAAGTTAGATAAAAATTACTAATTTTAAATTTAACTTAAAAAATAGTGTTGTTTTACTAAAATATATATACGTTTTTTTAATTATTTAGTAATCTTGAATGAGAATTGAGTGATAGAATTAAATTAGAGAAATGTTGATGTTTTTTAACTTTTGTTGAACTTGTCTGTTCAAAGAAAAATTGAAAAAAAAAAAATTTTAAAGATAATTTTGGCAAATTTCTTAAAACTTAAAATGTGTATTTTTAAAATTAAAAAAAAAAACCAAAAGGGTGCACGTGCCCCCTGGTCTTCATCAAACTGCGCCCCGAGTGAGGGAATCTAAAATGAGAGGGGAAGGTGGGTTTGGTGACTGGTCCACAATAATCCAGCCAAATGTTTTAATACTTCAAAAGAAGATCGTGCGGCCAGGAATCAATAACAAGCAGCAGCCCTCCGTCGCAGAAACCTCAAGGCCACACTGCAAAACGAGGTTGACGACGTCTCTCGGAGATACCCCGCTGCTTCTCCGGCGAAGGCCATCGTCAACTACTGTCGCAAGGAGAAGTTCTAAAGAAGATGGAGGTGGATTGTCTGCCCTCTTATTTTTATACTTTTCTTATACCTTTTTGTAATGTGTGATCACGGTTAAATTATATAATATTTTATATTAAATTTTTATAAAAATAATAAAATAAAAAGTAATAAAAATATAAAATATTAACGTAATTTAATTATAATTATACAAATAAAAAAATATCAAAAGAGTATGAAAATGAGAGGGCTAACAATCTACATACCGGATTGAGATCTTGCGAGCTAAGTCGATGACCAAGTCCAAATTCACGTCGAGCAGATGAATCTTATTCTTCGACAGCTGTAAACAGGCAGAAAGAAGTTGAATACCTACGGTTGCAGCGGGCCCCAAAATTTGTAGTAGAAATTTGCAGTCAACCCGCCCATATATGACTCTTTGACTTGACTTAGTAGATGCATAGAGCAAACCGGACACTGTGCAAGCTTAGCAGCCATATCAGTCTTTGACTTGTTTTAGTTGATGCATTGGTCCATGACATTTTCTCCACGGTCTTCTTAGACATAAGGCCTTTGGGCTGAATGTACTAGTGTTGTAGTTTTTGTATCAATAATATAACGATATATTTAAGTTTTGTTTTATATAAATAACGTTATACAGTGACATGAAATGTCACAATTACGATATTTGTGTCATATAAATTGTTTTCGGTATAAAGAGCTTATGTACTACTAATATTAGATCCAAATGCAGTGGTTAATTTGTTTACATACGTCAAAATAAATTAACATCAAACTAAAGCAAATTGAACAAGAAAATTAACGTCATAAAACAGCAAGGCCAAATCGATTAAATTAAAAGTTTCCAAGTAGAACATAAGGATCCTAATCAAGCAATTAGTGTCAGCCTAACGGTGAGGGTGAGTAAAATAATTAGTGGAAATAGACTGAAAATCTAAAATGCATTTTCTCGTTGTCCCTTTATAAACAAAATGAATTGGTTGTAATCTTGCCTTTCGTTTTACCAAAATGCATTTTCAATTTGTCCCTCAAATGTCAAGACCGTGTTGGTAGACTTTACAACCAAGACTCACGGCTTGCATGCATCAAAGTGCAACCTAAGCTTTTATGTAGGTTCCAGGAAACTCACTACTATATCTCTGCTTGTTCTTAAGATCTCAAAGTCCGGTCAACAGTTTACTACTAATCACACTAATATTATCTCAATTTATTATTTGTACAACTCGACATATGTTAGGTTTTAGGCTAAATATACAAAATGGTTCTTGAAATTTGCATAATCAATAGAAATGGTTCCTGAGATTGTCCACCATCCATGGTTTTGGTCTTTCTGTTAAAAACTCTTTAGGCAATTTTCAAAACTTCGTAACTCAATCGTTTCTTAAACAGATTCGACCCATAATATATCAAAATGAAGATAGGGAAGTGTAGAACAAGATTATACCTATTTGGAAGCCCAATGGTTGTTGGAGATGGCCGGAAAATAGCCTGAAAGGTGACTGGTCCGCGAGAAAACTGGAAAACTCGCTAGAAACTGGGTAAACTTTAAACGTTCATAACTTCTTCAATACTCAATGAAATCGAGTGATTCAAAAATGAAAATCATACTTCTTGACGAAATGAAGAGAATGGTACATTTGTTGACGGCTAACTTGCCATGGGTTTGGCTGCAAAACGGCTCGAAATTGGCTAACCATTTTCAAGTTACCCACTTTCGAGCCTTTTTTGGCCATACCACGGTGATTTAGCGTCGAGAAAGGTACCATTCTCTTCGTCTCGTCGAGAAGTATGATTTTCATTTTTGAATCACTCTATTTCGTTGAGTATTGAAGAAGTTATGAACGTTTAAAATTTACTCAGTTTCCAGCAAGTTTTCCCGCGGACCAGTCACATTTTAGGCTATTTTCCGGTCATCTCCAGCAACCATTGGGCTTCCAAATAGGTATAATCTTGTTATACACTTTCCTATCTTCATTTTGATATATTAGAGTCAAATTTGGTTAAGAACAATTGAGTTACAAAACTTTGAAACTTGCCCAAAGAGTTTTTAACAGAAAGATCAAAATCATAGATGATGGACAATCTCAGGGACCATTTCTATTGATTTTCAATCTTAAAGACCATTTCTATTGATTATGCAAATCTCATAGATCATTTTGTATATTTAGCCTAGGTTTTATGAAAGAAAAAAAACTCAATATTATATATAATTTTATAATATAATAATGAACTGTGAAACCATTCATTTATAAACATAATAATATATTTTTTTTCAAGTTTTTAATGTAGGGTTGGATTTTTCAACAAACACACTTCTTAAATCAGCTCAGCATGAATCAGTGGGCTGCACACATCAAGAAGGCTATAGTGAAAAGTCTGCATGACAGTATAAGTGAGCCATGTCACAGAAAAACAAAATAAGCACAACAAGATCTGCTAAAAACATGCCAAGTGTCTAAATAGCCTTCTAACACTTCCATTTTTTCATTGAAAAACCAAAGTTCTATTGTTCTTGTAAAAGAAACTTGAGCATTCTTGTTATCCTTAGTGTGTCTAGTGTTTGTCTTAGGAGCGTGTAAAACTTTGACAAACACTAGCCGTTATAACAACTATGCTTAAACATAATATAAGAGGAACATTAGCCAAATTGCTTTGCATAAATGAATTTATAACTTCTGACTTCGACTATTTAGCTCGTTAATTTCATTATGTCATGGCTCATCACTCTTTATTTTTGTTGACTCTTCAAGAACACTCTTCACTTTACTCTTCGTTGGTACTTTGAAATAGCCCACCTAAACATTAGCACCCATCATGTTACTTTTTCAAATGCATGTAGAAAAAAATTATATTGATAGAAGTTGTATAAACAGTTTCGATTATAGATTTCTTTATCTATATATTGATTGAAAAAAACGCAAATAACTAGGTATTAAAAAAAAAATATAAAAAAAAAGACTAGAGCCCAAATAGGGGTTGTCCAAGTTTGACAAAAGATGAAAAAAGGGCCCAAATTTTGGGCATTAAAGCCAAAAAAAAAAAAAAAATCATTACAGGGACCACTCTGTCCCCAATACCCTAACTTCCAACAAATACATCCACCCTTTCCCGATTCCCCACCCTCCCTTGTTCCCCACTTCCCCCACTTCCCCCACTGCCCTACCGTCCCACCCTGACTTCCTTTTCTTTTCTCTCAATCCCATTGGCCGCAAGACCAAGTGAGTGATTTATTATTCCCCACTTCCCCCACTGCCTTGCTGTCCTACCCTGACCAACTGCAAGCTACTGCGCGCAGCCAGACATGAGGTCCATCCTCTTCAACTCAACACCATTCAGTCATTCACCATTGGGCATTGGAATTTGGCTGCAAGTGCATTCACTCACCACCAACCCTTTTGAGTTTTGAGGTAAATTAATTTTGTAAAATTTGAATTATCAATTCATAATTTAATATAAAACTTTGCTAAGTGACAGAATTATATGATAATTGATGTATAGAATAGTTGTTGTTGATGAATTGAATTCTTGATTAATTGAATTATTTGATTTCATTTCAAACCCAATTTTTAGGTTCAAATTTATCAATTTTTATATGTTAGACTATGTTTTAGTGTTTTAATAATATATAATATGTGTTGGAATGATAATTTTGATAGGAAAATTTTGTTATATCATGTGTAGGTAATTTTTGCAAACAAATTATCGAAGCCATGTCTTTTAAGAAACAACTCTCTGGTAATATGCAAAGGAAAAAACAGGCAAAGGATAACGAAATTGCCGAAAGTTTAAAAGGATCTCTTAATAAATTTTTCTCTATAATGGATGAGTCGGTTGAAAATTTGAGAGAAAATGATGTTGGTGAAGAGTCACAAAATGTTGTTGGGGAGTCTCATGATCATGAAATTGGTGGTTATGTAGAGAAAGATGTTAATGAAAATGAGTATGATGATATAATTGATGATTTTTCTTAAAAAAATGCCAGAATACTATTTCTTAAAGGTTGAAATTTCAAGGAGCTTTGCTAGGAGTGGTTGTATATGATTGTATTTTTTATTGTCGAGCTTTAGGTACTATGTCCCCCCGTTATATATTTTCTCAAGTAATATAATTGGCTGTGAGGGCCTAGCCCTCCAGCTTCAACTGGGTTCCAGTGCTAATTAAATATTTTTTTTAAACATATGTTTCCGTATTGAAAAAGGGCACATTTTGAGTTTTCGCATTGGGCACCCAAAAATTCAGGACCGGCCCTGGACTAAGTAAATAAGATCCACCAATTTATCCTTGCTTACAACATTCCTAATGAAGGGCTTTATATGAGGTTGCAAAAGTGTGGATATAGCCGATTTTAGAGCTCGACTCTTTGATGCTGTAAAAGAAAATCTCTACCAACGGGGAACTATATAACTCTTGGGCGCTATCTGGACTCTGGAGCTATATATTTATTTATGTAGTCATTTGATTACGTAGTAATTTTATTTTTTATGTTAACTTTTCTTAAGCTAATTTTTAAACATATTTTAATTTTTTTTATGAACAATTCAACCTAAAACACTTCGAATTCTCACACTGTTAAATTTCATTACTTATAAAAATAGGAAAACAAAATGTTGCAAGTACCAAGTTTGTAAAATGAAGCCACAACTCACAAGGCCCGCATCTGAAAAATTTGTGAATGATACGAATTTTTCCACAAAAATAAAAGGAAAACTAACGAAAAAGGCTTGAAAAATTTGAGTTTTAATGATAAGGACAAAATAAAGGATAAAGTGAATAGTACCAAATCTGACTTTTTAGTATAAAAATGTGGTTTTTCGTTAAAGTGAATAGTACCGCGGGCTTTTCGTTAAAACTTCCAAAAATAAATGGTGCTACTTTTAGTCAAATATGTGAAAACAATAGCCATTTAAAATCATTGAAAAAAAAAAAAAAAAAAAAGGGTAAGTGATTGTGCAGTTTTGAAGTGTTTGGAGGTCCTAACTTAGCACACACTTGGTCATACAACTGCACGGGTGTTTTCTTCCTGAAAACGAGTACTTGTACAACTCTAAAGTGTTTTGAGGTTTGCAAGTATACCGCAGTTGGTCATACAACTGCACGAGTGTTTTCCTTCTAAAAACAAGTGCTTGTGCAATTCTGAAGTGTTTTGAGGTTCTAAAGCAGCATACAGTTAGTCATAAAACTGCATGGGCGTTCTCATCCTAAAAACAAGTACTTGTACAACTCTAAACCGTTTTGAGGTTCGCAAGCAACACACAACTAGTCATATAACTACACGTGTTTTCCTTCTTAAAACAAGTACTTGTACAATTGAGAAATGAATGGTGGTCATACAACTGGGAAGTGTTTTCTTGCTAAAAACAAGTGCTTGTGCAGTTTTGAAACGTTTGGAAGTTCTAAAGTACCATGCAGTTGGTCATACAATTACACGAGTGTTTCCTTCTTAAAAAAATGTTTGTGCATTTCTGAAGTTTTGGAGATCCTAAAGGAGCACACAGTTGGTCGTACATTTATTGACAATAAAAATCTCAAATATTTAAAGGTTATATCAATTTATGGCTACTATAAAACCAACTGCGCGAATGTTTTCTTCCTAAAAACAAGAACTAGTTCTGAAGTGTCTTGAAGTTTGCAAGCAGTAAGTAATTGGTCATACTGCATGGATGTTTATTTCATAGAAATATGTGCTTGTGCAGTTTTGAAGTGTTTGGAGGTCTTAAAACAAAACATGGTTGGTTATTCAACTGCCCGATTGTTTTCTTTCAGAAAAAAAACAAGTGTTTGTGCAGTTCTGAAGTGTTCAGAGGTCCTAAAATAGCACGCAATTGGTCTACAACTGCACAAGTGTTTTCTTTCAAAAACGGTGCTTATGCATTTTTTAAGTGTTCAAAGGTTCTAAATCAGCGCACAGTTGGTAATACGGTTATTGACACTGAAATTTTTGAAGTGTTTTAAGGTTGCGTCAATTTATGGTTACTATAAAACCAACTGTTCGAGTGTTTTCTTCTAGGTTTGCAAGCAACACTCGGTTATATAACTACACGGGTGTTTATTTCATAAAAATAAGTGCTTTTGCAGTTCTAAAATGTTTGGAGTCTAAAACAACACACAATTGGTCATAGCATGAGTGTCTTTTTTCCTCAAAATAAGTGGCTGTGCAGTTTTGAAGTGCTTGGAGGAAATAAGTGGTTGTGCGGTTCTAAAGTGCTTGGAGGTGCTAAAGCAACAAGCAGTTGGTCATATAACTGCATGTGTATTTTCTTTATAAAATAAGTGCTTGTGTAGTTCTAAAGTGTTTGGAGGTCCTAGAGCAGCACCCGTTTGGTCTTACGTTTGACACTAAAAATATCAATCGTGGGGGTGTTTTCTTTATAAAAACAAGTACTTGTACAACTCCGAAGTGTTTTGAGGTTCGCAAGCAATACACAATTGGTCATATAAGTGCACATGTGTTTTCTTTCTAAAAATAAGTACTTGTAGAGTTCTGAAGTGTTTGGTGGTCTGCAAGTAGCATGCAGCTGGCCATACAAATGCACAAGTATTTTTTTTCCTTAAAAACAAGTCTGAATTGTTTTGAGGTTCGCAAGCATCACACAATTGTTTATATAATTGCACAAGTGTTTTCTTCTTAAAAACAAGTGCTTTTGCATTTATGAGGTGTTTTAAGATCCTAAAGCAGCTCGTAGTTGTTCATACAACTATATGAGTGTTTTCTTTCTAAAAACAAGTACTTGTAGAGTTTCGAAGTGTTTGGTCCGCAAGCAGCATGCAATTGGTCATACAAATGCACGAGTGTTTTCTTCCTAAAAACAAGTACTTGTGCAAGTCTGAAGTGTTCATCTAACTGCATGAGTGTTTTCATTCTAAAAACAAGTGTTTTTGTAGTTCTGAAGTGTTTAGAGGTCATGTTAATTTATGGCCACAAAAAAACCAACTGCGCAGGTGGTTTCTTCATAAAAATAAGTACTTGTGTAGTTCTGAAGTAGCACGCAATTGTTCATACAATTGCATGAGACTTTAATTTCTTCCTAAAAACAAGTATTGTATAGTTACGAAGTGTCTTGAGCTTTGTAAGCAGTATGCAGTTGGTCATACAACTTTACAGGTGGTTTCTTTCTATAAACAAGAGCTCGTGTAGTTTGAAGTGATTGGAGATGCTAAATCAACACGCAGTTGGTCATACAACTAAACGAGTGTTTTTGTCCTAAAAATGAGCACTTATAAAATAAAACTCTGAAGTGTTTTGGGGTCCTTTATTTCGAGTTTCGTATTATATACGTTGGAGTTATGTCCAAACCCTAAAGGTGGATATAGGGAGGGTTGTTAGGTAAAGAATTTTGTTCCCTCACCAGGATGGATATGCCCCAGAAAATTTTCCCTCTGACGCTCCCTCTTTTCATTTGCAATACGTGTAGTCCTTGCATAGTGATTGAAATTATGATTTTGCACACCAGTGTATATTTTTGTCTTTTCATTTTTCTTTAATTTATTCAATCACATGAGCGCAAAAAGAGAAAATGAGTGTGCGTCCAAATCTGAATCACTTTATCAATGTATGGATGGAGAAGTTTTTATGTCCCTTTGGCCATTACCCACTTGTGATAAAATTGCAACTGTTGAAAAGGCCACCCATGCCAAGTCAAAGAAGACTGACGAATGCAAAACTTGTAAAAGAAGTCCAAATTATGAAATGCCAAGTCAAATACGGAACAACATTAAAAATCAAAAGTCCACTGCTCGAGATAAATGAATAAAAGAAGATAATTTATCACAAGTAGGACATAATTGCCTGCCCAAGATCAATTGATTTTGAGCATCCCCTGATGTAGAAAACAGGCAAGAAGTGATTTCCTAATCTTCCCCGGGCACATTTAGTTGCTTTCTTCTGAATTCAATGGCTCTCGTAATTGGAACACAAGAATCCTCCTCTTCCAATTCCAACAGTTCTACTTCTCGATGTAGTTATGACGTTTTCTTGAGTTTTAGAGGCGAAGACACTCGCAAGACATTTACGGATCACCTCTACACAGCCTTTGTCAACGCAAGCTTTCGCACTTTCCGAGATGACGATGAACTTGAGAGAGGGGAAGATATTAAGCTAGAATTCGTGAAAGCCATCCAGCAATCACGAAGTTCTGTCGTTGTGTTTTCAAAAGACTACGCGTCCTCAAGATGGTGCCTTAATGAGCTTGTGATGATCCTCAAACGCAGAAAGACCTCCAACCATGTAGTCTTACCGGTCTTCTACGATGTCGATCCATCCCATTTGAGGAAGCAGACAGGATGCATTGCAAAAGCATTTGCTAGACACCAAAAAACTCAATCGTTTGACACGGTGAAGGGATGGAGGGAAGCACTCGCAGAAGCTGCAGATTTGGCAGGGATGGTCTTACAAAATGAAGAAGATGGGTACGTAATTTCGTTACAAATAGCTAAGTCGATTTTATGACGTTTGATTGCAGGTATTTTTTGAGTCAAAATTCCAAACTCCGATACAGGAGTACAAAAGCAAAATTTTAGGAGATTGTCTGAGTCTCTGACACACACACACACACATATGCATATAAAGTTGAACTTCCAAACTATATATTCTTTCGATATCTGTTGCCTTAATTATTGTAATTAATCGAAGTCATGGCTCATTGCATATTTGATTAGGTTTTAATATTCAATTTCACTGCATTTTTCAGGCATGAATCCAAGTTTATCATGAAAATTGTTAAAGTGATTGAAGACAAACTAAGGAGGAGGCCCATAAGTGTTGACTCCAACCTGGTTGGAATCCAGTCTCGAGTCAAGGACATCAACTTATGGTTACAAGATGGATCAAAGGATGTTGGTATACTTGTAATTCATGGAATGCGCGGAATTGGAAAGACAACCATTGCAAAATTTGTTTACGGATCAAATTTTGAAAGATTTGAAAGACACAGTTTCGTAGAGAACATACGAGACTTTTCAGAAAAATCGAATGGCTTGATTCAGATACAAAAACAGCTTCTTCATGATATTTTGAATGGGAGGAAAGTGAAAATTCATAGTATTAGTGAAGGAATGGCTAAGATTGAAGATGCTATTTGCTCTAAAAGAGTTCTTCTTGTCCTCGATGATGTAGATTGCATGGAGCAGTTAGATGGACTGCTAAGGATGCAAGATCAATTTTATCCGGGAAGTAAAATCATCATTACAACAAGTAATGCAGGGTTGTTAAATTCCTACCACCATATGGTTAAGTTTCATAGTTGTCAAACTTTGAATAACAGCGAATCGTTAGAGCTCTTCAGTTTGCATGCTTTTGGGCAAGACCATCCCACTGAAAGCTATAGCGATGTTTCAAAAAGCTTTGTGCACCACTGTGGAGGACTTCCATTAGCACTTAAAATTTTGGGTTCTTCAATGGCAGGAAAGAATATAGCAGTATGGGAAAGTGCAATAAGCAAACTGAAAGTTATTCCGGACAGTCAAATCTTGAAAAAACTCAAAATAAGCTATGAGTCCTTGCAAGATAGCCATGACCAAGATTTATTCCTTCATATTGCCTGCTTCTTTATCGGAATGGAGAAAGATATCATCGTTAGAATACTAGATGCCTGTGATTTTTTCACAGTTGTTGGAATTCAAAATCTCATTGATAGAAATTTGGTAAGACTCGATGGAGATAATATGGTGCAGATGCATCACATGATCCGTGACATGGCAAGAGGAATTGTTCGTCTGGAATCAAAGGAGCCTGGGGAACGTAGTAGATTATGGCATCATAAGGATTCTTTTGCAGTATTGGCAGAAAAGAATGTAAGAAACATATGCTCCTCTAATATGTGTTCATGTTTCTTTTGGTTCTGTCATAGCTAATTAACCAATTTTCTTTCTTCTCTATGTTAAATAGGGAACGGAAACAATTCAAGGTCTTGCTCTCAACATGCAAAACCACCCAGAATACTCTTCTACAAGAAATTCAAATCAGGTAGTTTTTGAAACGGGTACGTTTTCAATGATGCACAAATTAAGACTTCTGCAGCTTACTTATATAGAACTCAATGGATCCTATGAAGAATTTCCGACAAGCTTAAGATGGTTGTGTTGGCATAAATTTTTGAAGGGTTCTATACCCTCTGATTTTTCTTTGAAGAATTTGGTTGTTCTGGAAATGTGTTACAGCAGCATGAGGCAAGTCTGGACGGGAACAAAGGTTTGCTACTCTTCACACTATGTTATAATTTCCCTTTTCTTTTTAGGTTTTTCAATGATTAGTTGCACATTAGTAAAAATATAATTCTACCTTGTTTCAATTTTCTGAACAGTTTCTCCCATCACTAAAGATTCTAAATCTTAGCCATTCCAATGACCTCACCGAAACCCCGGACTTTTCTCTGGTCCCCAATCTAGAATGGCTGATTCTTAAAGATTGTTCAAGCTTGGTTGATGTCCATGAATCCATTGGAAACCTACAGGGACTTGTGCATTTGAATATGGAATATTGCAAAAGTATTAAGAAGCTTCCAGAGAATATTTCTAAGCTAACCTCCCTCGAAACACTTATTATATCTGGTTGCTCAAGCCTCAGCGTTTTTCCCACAGACATGAGGAAGATGGAATCTCTGAAAGTGTTTCAAGCTGACGGTGTTCCAATACATCAGTTACTCACTGCTACCGAGGAGGTCACATTGTGGCCAAGACGAAGTGTAGAAATTACTTGGGCTTCTTACCTACCAAGCAATTTAGTGGACTTGAGTCTTAGAAACTGCAATCTTGGTGACAATGATTTTCCCAGAGAATTTGGAAACTTATCCGCGTTGTGTAGCTTAAATCTGGGGGGTAATCCAATTCATAGCCTACCAGATTGCATTAGAGGTGTTGCGGGGCTTCGTAGACTCTCTTTTGAGTATTGTAAAAGGCTCAAATCGCTTGTAAGGCTACCAACTGTAGGACACTTGATAATCGCTGATTGTGAAAAGTTGGAAACGGTAACATTTAAATCATTAAGCGAGGTGTACTCTAGAATGCGCTCCATCGAATGCCGTGGCAACCATAAGCTAGTTGAGTTTGAGTCAGTGTACAAGATGGAGCCTATTGAAAGAGTTGATATAGAAATGATCTACATTTTGGGTTTGAGCAACTTGAAATATTCAACAAAATCCATTATGAAGTACAAGATACCCGCGCGGTTCCACAGATGGATAGAAAAGCGTCTTCCCATCCAGGTTTGTTTCTCTCTACATCTCTCTCATTCCGATCATAATACTGTATGCCCGCAAGAGTACTCTGACTAATTTTTATACATTTCCATGGCATGTATAGGGACTGCATGAATTTGGAATATTCAGCACATTTCTTCCTGGGAATTATGAGGTTCCTCAATATGACTCATTTAGCCATAAAAGTAAAGGGCCCTCAATATCTTTTACTGTGCCTGTACTTCCCTATTGCCGGATCCGAGGCTTGAACATCTTCTCTGTCTATGAAAAATCCAAAAGCCATGAATCTCCTAACATCAGAGTAAAAAATATGAAAGGTTTATGTTATACAATAATGACAGAAGTTAGAAATAAGAGTAAAGGTCTGCAGTGGATCTACGGGCCAGCATTATTCGGAATGCCAAGTGATGATCAAGATGTGATATGGTTAAGCCATTGGAAATTTGGGAATAAATTGGAAGGTGGTGATGAGCTGACTGTTTCAGTATTAACATCATCATATATGATATATGATGAGTTTCAGGTAAAGGAGTTTGGTGTCCAGGTTGTGTACTACGAGCAAGTGACAGTCACCGCCCAAGAAAATTTCACCACAGATAATCCTTTTTATCCACGTGTCATTGCCGGAGATTTGTCACATTATCTGCTGCCAGGATCATCAGGAGCATACCTTCTCTGCCATAATCCAGTATTAGAAAGAAGGGATGTGCTTAGTTATGTTTGGTTCAAGCACAACAGTAATGAAATAACAGGTGTGTGGTTCGTATGTCCTCTGTGTGTGTGTGTGTGTGTGTAATTCACTCCAGCTATGAAACCATTGATCTTTATCAGGTAGATAGATGTTCACAAGTTTTTTTAATTATTATTTGTAAGGCCATTGATCTTTTGTTTTTTTTGTCCGAAGGCCATGGATCTTTGGGACTTAAAATTCACCTGATAGAGCAAGAAGAAGATCGGGAAAGTGAATGCACGCTTGTAGAACATGAGGAGAGCAGCAGTAGCAATAGCAATAGTATCGATAGCAATGGTGCAGACAGAGGTTGGAAAGTGGTACTGAGTATAATGACGATGGCCACTTTCTTCTTGAGATGCTTTCAGTTGCACAAATGTTTGTCACTGGAAGATGGTAACAATGGCGCATGAGGTAACTTAGAGCCTCGATAATGTGTCAGTATATTGTATTTTGTGAATGGTATATTCATCATAAAACAATCAGGTACAAGAGAACAATATATATGTGCTAGAGGGAAGAAAACAAGACTACCTATCCCTCCTTGATTTACGTCTAAAGCTAACAAAAAAGAACAAATAAGACACATCCCTTGAATTAAGGGAATTGACAAGACAAATAAGACAAATTGAGGAAATTGACAACAAGAGACACATCCCTTGAATTAAAGGAATTGACAACACTATCTGTCACCCTAAAATCCTTTGTACGGTGAACATGCAACCTAACCTAACCCTAGTTGCCATTCTTTCTTCCAATACTCCCCCTCAAGCTGGATCAAAGGGATTAATTGATCCAAGCTTGAACAAAAGACGTTGAAAATCAGCAGAGGGTAATCCTTTTGTGAAAATATCCGCAAGTTGATCATGACTGCGCGTGTAGTGAGTGTCGATCACCTTGGACTGAACTTGATTTCTGACGTAGTGACAATCAACTTCAATATGTTTAGTTCGCTCATGGAATACAGGATTCGATGCAATGTGCATCGCGGCCTGATTGTCACAGTGTAGGGACATGGGTTGTTGATGAGGAAAACCTAAAGTCAACAGAAGGCTTTTGAGCCAAATAAGTTCACAAGCAGTGGACGCCATAGCACGATACTCTGCCTCTGCACTAGAGCGTGCAACAACACTTTGTTTCTTGCTTTTCCAGGTAACTAGGTTGCCTCCCACAAACGTACAAAACCCAGTGGTAGACTTGCGATCGAGAGAATTACCTGCCCAGTCAGCATCGGTATAGCCTGAGATCTGAGTGTGACTATTGTTGCGCATAAGAATTCCTCTACCAATGGAACCCTTAAGATAATGTAGCACACGATGAACAATCTTCAAATGATCCATGCTTGGAGAGTGCATAAACTAGCTAACAATGTTGACAGCATATGATATATCAGGACGTGTGATAGTCAGATAAATGAGTTTGCCAACCATTCTTTGATAGTAACTTAAATTGGGAACTGGATCACCGTGAGTTTTTAGCTTCAAGTTGCTATCCAAGGGGGTACGAGCAGGCTTGCAATCTGTCATTTTTGCTTCGTGAAGAAGATCCATGACATACTTGCGTTGGTTGAGGAAGAAACCCTTGTGAGAGTGTGCCATCTCGATGCCCAGAAAGTATTTGAGAGTGCCAAGATCCTTGATAGCAAACTTGTTGTTGAGATACTGTTTAAGAGCATTAATCTCTGACATATTATCACCTGTCACAATTAGATCATCAACATAAATGAGCACAACTAGTTTACCCACTAAGCTGGAACGAACAAATAGGGAAGAATCCGCAATACTTCGACAAAAACCAACCCTTTCCAGAACATGACTGAGCTTGGCATACCATGCACGTGGACTTTGCTTGAGACCATAAATGGATTTATGGAGTTTGCACACCATTTCTGGATTGTTTGATTGAGGATGACCTGGGGGTAGCTTCATGTAAACCTCTTCTTCAAGTTCACCATGCAGGAAAGCATTTTTAACATCCATTTGAAAGAGAGGCCATGCATTGTTAATTGCAACCGACAACAATACTCTAACAGTGTTCATTTTTGCCACCGGAGCAAATGTCTCTTTATAATCGACGCCATAGGTTTGTGTAAAACCTCGAGCAACCAAGCGAGCCTTATTCCTTTCGATTGTACCATCTGAATGAAACTTAGTTTTGTACACCCAACGACTCCCCACTGCCTTCTTTCCTTTTGGAAGTTTCACTATAGTCCATGTGTTATTTTCATGGAGGGCTTGAAGCTCATCTGCCATAGCATTTCTCCACTCACTGTGAAGATTGGCTTCTTGAAAACTTTGAGGTTCTTGAGCTTCATTAATGGCACTTAGGAATGTAGCAAAAGAAGATGAGACTTTGCTATAATCAATAACATCAGTCACGGGATACCTGGCAGTGTAGGTCACATAATCATGCAACTTGGATGGAAGTTTCCTCTCTCGTGCAGGATTGCGACGAACTGTAGGAGATTGAACTACATGTATTTGAACAACATCATGGTTGGAAGGATCACTGGAGGGTGCAGTGTGAATCTCCGATGAGGAAGGGTTTTCATCTTCAAGATGTTCCACCGAGTGAAGGTTAACATCATCCGGCACATGATCACTAGGAGTGCATGTTGCATCTTCTCCGTTTGGATATGGAAAAGGAAATAAGTCCATCAAATGCTCCCCCTGTCTAGAGTAATCCAGTGATTGTGAGAAGTAAGGAACTTGTTCTTCAAATTTAACATCCCTTGAAACAACCATTTTTCTAGTTGTTGAATTATAGCACTTGTAACCTTTTTGGGTAGATGAATAACCTAGAAAGACACATTTGGCAGCCCTTGGGTCTAGCTTGTCACGATTTTGAGTTTGAATGTGAACAAAGCATGTACACCCAAAGACTCTCAAATGGGAAAAGTTGATCTTTCTATTTTTCAAGACCTCATAAGGTGATTTAAAATTCAACACTTTACTAGGCAATCTATTGATGAGATATGCCGCAGTAAGGACTCCTTGAGACCAAAACTTCTTAGGCACATTCATGTGAAACATAAGAGCTCTAGTCTTCTCAAGTAGATCTCTATTCTTCCTCTCGGCCACCCCAATTTGTTGAGGTGTTCCAACACAGCTTGTTTGGTGTAATATACCATGCGTGCTCAAGTAGTGTGACATGTTATGAGACATATATTCTGTGCCGTTATCTGATCGTAAAGTATGAATTTTTGAAGCAAATTAGGTGGCCACAATTCTATGAAAATCTTGAAAAACTTCCATCACTTCACTTTTAAATTTCAAAAGATACAACCAAGTAATCCTTGTGAAATCATCCACAAAAGTTACAAAATATTTGTATCCATCAAAAGACTCTATAGTTGGTCCCCAAACATCGGAATGCACGATTTCAAAAGGGTTACTAGCCCTAGACAAAGAGGAAGTAAATGGTAATCTAGTAAACTTAGAAAAATGACAAACATCACAAGGACTTGTAACTTTGCACATATTTGGGAACAAGGTGGATAGAACTTTTTCAGATGGATGTGCTAGACGTTGGTGCCAAAGTTGTTGTTCTTGAGCTAAGCTTGAAGTGACTTGAAAAACCTTGGGAACTTGAATATGCTTGGAAAGATAGTAGAGACCATTTAAGAAAAATCCTTCACCAATCGTCTTCTTGGTGACTACATCCTGAAAAAATCACATTTTTGGGAGAGAAAATGGCAAGACAATTTAATGAGTTTGTGATCTTGCTAACAAATAAAAGTTGAAAAGGGAATGAGGGAACATAAAGAGCCTCAGACTCGACATCACTTGAGATCAAATGTATTTTTCCTTTTCCCACAACCATAGCATTTTTTCCATTGGCAACTGACACTTGAGATGGAATAGAAAATTTTTCAAATTTATGCAAGTTTGTAGACTTGTTAGTCATATGATCAGTGGCTCCAGAATCTATAATCCAATAATCATGCACATTACCAATGTTGAGAGCAGTTGAGAAGGAGTGTAATATACCTGGGATGTCCCTTTGTACCATGCCTTCATTTCCAACCAGGAAGCCAGCAAACTGTCCTAGTAGTGCAGTTTGATTGTTGTCACATTGATTTAGTGGTCCTTCACTATCTCTAAGACCTTGTTTCTTGTGAAGAAACATAGCAAACTCGTTGATCAGTGCAGCTGGATTAGTGGTGAACTTCAGTGCTCCATCAGAAGAAGTTGTGGCAACATGATTTGCCTTGTAAGAAGGGTTGTACGAGCCTTTCGAGACACCTTTGTTATCCCTAGGAAACTTTGGTTTTAACTCTGGATGAAGAATCCAGCATCGGTCTCTTGAGTGCCCACCAACATCACAATGGCTACATTTTAAGCCAGTTTTCTTTCCTTTGTAGCCTCTCTCCTCACCAAGTTTTTGGTTAGAGAAGTAAGCCCTAGCTTCTGGTATATTTGCCTTCATTTCCAAAGTCATGACTTTCCTTCGAACCTCTTCTCTTTGAATTGTGGCACACACACTTGAAAAAGAAGGCAGGTCGGGATTCATGAGGATATGGCTTCGAAGATCTTCGAATTCAGGGCTCAGGCTTGCTAGGAGTTGGAATATTTTGTCTTCCTCGGCTCTTTTAGTTAGCACAACAGTGTCGATGGTGTGTGGTCGATACACATTCAGCTCGTTCCACATAGTGGTCAGCTTTCCAAGATGTTGCACAAATGGCTTCCTTTCCTGTTGCAAACCAGCAATGTCCTTCTTTAACTGAAACACTCTAGCTGCATTGTTCTGATTTCCATACATTTCCTTGAGATTTTTCCAAAGAGTCATGGAGGATTCAGCATAGCTAAAAATTTCTGCAATCTTACGATCCATGGAATTGAGTAGCCATGACATGACCAACTGGTCTTTGCATAGCCAAGCATCATACTCCGGTGAGGTAGTCTCAGGCATTGGAATAGCACCATTAACATAACCAAGCTTTGATCGTACTCCCAGAGCAAGAGAAACTGCTCTCTCCCATGGAAGATAGTTAAACTCATTTAGCAAGACAAAACTAAGACGTTGATTTGGGTTGATATCAATATCTGAGTGTGGTGATGGTGGAGTAGCATGAAAGCCGTCTCCTTCCAAATTTACTAAGCTTTCTTCAGCCATGATTGAAAGACAAGAAGCTCACAAATCTCTCAAGAGAACACCACAGAGACAGGCCGGTTAGGGTCACTGCTCTGATACCATATTGTATTTTGTGAATGGTATATTCATCATAAAACAATCAGGTACAAGAGATAGCAATATATATGTGCTAGAGGGAAGAAAACAAGACTACCTATCCCTCCTTGATTTACGTCTAAAGCTAACAAAAAAGAACAAATAAGACACATCCCTTGAATTAAGGGAATTGACAAGACAAATATGACAAATTGAGGAAATTGACAACAAGAGACACATCCCTTGAATTAAGGGAATTGACAACACTATCTATCACCCTAAAATCCTTTGTACGGTGAACATGCAACCTAACCTAACCCTAGTTGCCATTCTTTCTTCCAATACAGTAAGATAGGAAGGAGAAAATGGGTGATCTTGTTTTG